TTTATGACACGAAATTGAAAATGACCTGACACGCGAACAAGAAATATAAAAAGCTCATAATTTTATGACTCAATAAGAATCTGACACGACACAATTCGATTATCACTCTTAATCTTAGTCAGCACAAAAAAAATAATTAATCATTTTTATTTTTCATCAATCCAATTATACACAATGAAAGAAAGTATATCATTCATATTTTCCATTCTTAAAGGATTAAAAGTATATCCCTCATATTTTTCATCATTCCTACCAAACGAAGCATTAAACTTCGTCTCTCTCTTTCTTTTCCTCAAATTAGGTTATGGTTGCACAAGAATACATGCGGGCAACAATGTTCATTTTTTGTTTTTTTGGGCTGGTGAAAAAAGGTTGGAGGGGTAATCAAGGTGGAACCTCAGTCTGAGTGTGATCATAGCAGCCCGATAAAAAACCGCAAGTGTAAGTCAACTCGAACTATAACCTAATCCCACTGAAAGTCAACTCAAAACTATCACCTAATCCAACATTACAGAACTGTCAGTAGAAATTACAAGAGTTCAGGTAAATCGAACTCCTGCTTGTTAACTTCATAGGAGTCGATGAAGACCCTAAACAGAACGCAAGATAGGTCCTTGAGAAAAAGAAAAAAGGAAAATCTTTACTCCACCCACACGTATTGGCTTAGNCTAACTCTCTCTCAACCATCATACAATGTTTTCTTCTTCCCCTCTCTCAAAGAACTGACTTGACCGTCGGAGGGGATACGTCGAAAAACACTATGACACCCTTCTAACCTGTTTTCCTTTGTTCCAGGAACCCCCTTCAGTTTTCAAGGATCACTCAGGCGACTCATACCAACGATTGATTATCCACCTTCGACCCTCACAACCTGTTCAACTAGCAAGACCAACCACCCAATTTCGAACACATGTTCACCATGGAAGAGATCTGTTCTAGTGTTTATATTGTGCGGGATCTTCCACCCACACTATCTATTGAAATAAAACAAAAAAATTAAACAAATGATCTAAGTCAGAACATGAATTTTACAACCAAAATTCACGTTCTATTATGCCATTTATTAAAATTAAATCAAAAAAAAAATCTAATTTAAAAAAAAGTCATAGTTAATTAGTTAATATACAATTATACTATCTATTAGAATAAAATTAAAAATTTAAATAAGGGATTAAACTGTAATGAACACAACATCTTTTAGCTTTAATTCGGGTAGTTTGGTATTTTAATTTGGTTGTTTAAAAGACCAAATTAAATTCTAATAAATAATATAATTGTATATTAATTATAATATTTTATGAAAAATTAAAATTTTATTTTTGATTTTATTTCAATAAATAGTACAATAGAACATAAATGTTAATTGTAAAATTAAAAATTCTTGATATTTTATCTTTGATTAAAGTATTTTTAGTGTAAATATAACATTTTAAATTTAAGGTGTAAGTAATATATGTTTACAAATTTTAGGGAGTCTAGGTGTAATTTTTTATCGAATATATTTACAGAAGGGGTCTAAGTGTTATGTACGTATAAAATTTAGGGGGTTTATGTATAATATTTTAAATATTAGGGAGTCTGAGTAATTAAATAACAAATTTCAGAAGCTCTGAATATAATTCTCCTTAAATAAAAAATAATTCTTGAAATAAAAATCAAACATTACCTAAAATTTTTACGTGTGTTCTAACGGCAGAGTGGGATAAACGGGAAAGTCAAAGTACCGCCTTTGGTATGGTTATGCCACTTATAACTTTTATGGTAAAATTATAATTCAAAAAATAGAAGTTATAATTGTTTAATAAAAATCTATGATCGATCAAAGGGATTATAATTGATCACAGATATAACCTCTTTCTTATGAGTTATAACTTGACTTTTAAAAATTGTAACTTCGTTATCAATCTCAATCTATGATTTTTAAAAATTATAATTTACGTCTCAAAAAAATTATAATTTAATTTTAAATAATTGTAAATTTCGTATGACACCCTCGATACCGTAGCCTTTCCCGGGATAATAGGTCACAAAGTCATTGAGGGTACGAACATATGGTTAGAGCATCTCCAACAATAATAGTTATTTTAGTTATCCAAAAAATAACTTTTTTTATTTTAACTACTCATTTTTTCAATACACACTCTAATAGATTCTTTATATTTTTAACTACTTCTTTTAAATATTATTTATTATCTCTTTTGTATTATATTTTTTGAGAATAGTGAAAGGTAGAAAGAGAGAGAATGGAAGAAATGAGAGAAAGAGAGAGAAAATAATATATATTATGTTTACATATTACTACAATGATGATTTATTTTACATGAACATAATATGTTGGAATACTATTTTTAGCTTTAATTAACTAAAATTTACCAATTTTAAACATTTAAAACATCTATTGGAGATAGTGTTGGGCATAGACCCACGGTGATAAACAGTCGTCTTTTCTGGCCAAAAATGTCGGCTAGAATAGAATTTAAGGATAAGGCTGCCGACTAAATTAATATCCTTTGTCAAAATTTATTTTTAATTGTTAATTTTGGTTTAAATGATTTATAATTATTGATTCAAAAAATAATAATAAATATTAAGAAATAATAAAGTAAAAATATTTTGAATGTACCAAAATTTTAGTAAATAAGAAATAGAAATACAATAAAGAATCTAGTGATACTAGAGACGAGCAGCAAATTCAGGTATTCTGAATTCAAATCTTGGCAATTTCTTGGGGGCTAGATTATGAAGAATTTATTTTTCATAAATTTTCTAGTCTCGATGTGAATGACATGTCTTTAACTGAGTTAAATGAGATTAATCAAAATACGCATAAATTAATCTAAACACCTTTCACCGTTAAAAAAAAAATATTATTACCAAACCAGATCGTAGATTTGTATCGATGCCCACACCAATTGTAATGCTCCGTTTGGTATGATAGAAAAATAAAAGGATAAAAAATTGGAAGGATAAATAAAGCATCATGTTTAGTAAGAAATAAAAATAGGAAGGATGAAAAAGTGAATAAATTTACTTTCTTTCAAACTCATCAAAATCAATCCCTTGAAAACCGGAAAGAAAGTTGATAGAAAGTTAATTATTTGTTTTGAGATTTATCATATTTGTCCATATATTATGTATACATTAATTTCATATATAAATACAATGATAAAATAAGTATGTGTGTGTGTGTGTGTGTCTATATATATATATATATAAATTTTAAAATAAAAAAATAAAAATTTTAAATTAAAAAAATATTTTTTTCATCTTAATTAGGAGTGAAAATTTTCCACTCAATACGATGACATGACTCGAACTCGACACGAATTTTATGACACGAAATTGAAAATGACCTGACACGCGAACAAGAAATATAAAAAGCTCATAATTTTATGACTCAATAAGAATATGACACGACACAATTCGATTATCACTCTTAATCTTAGTCAGCAAAAAAAAAATAATTAATCATTTTTATTTTTCATCAATCCAACTATACACAATGAAAGAAAGTATATCATTCATATTTTCCATTCTTAAAGAATTAAAAGTATATCCCTCATATTTTTCATCAGTCCTACCAAACGAAGCATTAAACTTCGTCTCTCTCTTTCTTTTCCTCAAATTAGGTTATGGTTGCACAAGAATACATGCGGGCAACAANATAGAGTAATCTATATGTATATTAGTTATTGTTCGTGTTTGATGACACATAATAATAATAAAAAAATTGTCAATTATAAATATATTTATATTCATACTCAAACTAAAATTACAAAAATATAGATGAGAGATAAATGAATTTAAATATCGGTTATAGTGGGGGTGAGTGATGAAAGTGGTGGTGGAAGATGGTGATGGATGTGGTGAGCGGCTATGACTGTGATAGTGGTGGCGGTTGTGGGTGGCAACGGTGATGGTAGTGATGAATTTTGGATAATGATTATAGTATTGACAGTCGTGGGTAACAACAGTGGTACTCGTGGGTGATGATGGTGGTGGTGGTGGTGGGTGGTAGCGAATGGTGATTGTGTTGGCAGGTGTGGTGGGNAATGTTCATTTTTTGTTTTTTTGGGCTGGTGAAAAAAGGTTGGAGGGGTAATCAAGGTGGAACCTCAGTCTGAGTGTGATCATAGCAGCCCGATAAAAAACCGCAAGTGTAAGTCAACTCGAACTATAACCTAATCCCACTGAAAGTCAACTCAAAACTATCACCTAATCCAACATTACAGAACTGTCAGTAGAAATTACAAGAGTTCAGGTAAATCGAACTCCTGCTTGTTAACTTCATAGGAGTCGATGAAGACCCTAAACAGAACGCAAGATAGGTCCTTGAGAAAAAGAAAAAAGGAAAATCTTTACTCCACCCACACGTATTGGCTTAGTGATTTAAAATGTACAAGACGTAGGTTTACAGGTAACATCCCATGTGCCTCACAAACTAAGCTATTAGCTTAAAACTTGCTAATTCAAAGTATAGTCAATGCCTTGTCCCAACATGAACGATCGAATTCTGATCTTCCCACAAATCAAGGAACATGTCATAATTCCTTTCATCAAGCATACAAAGATTTCTACCTAGCGTCACTCAAGCTTCTATAGATTTTTAACACCATTAGAAGTTAAAAAAGAAAGAACAAAAAAACAAAAGAGCGGAACTTATTTATTACAACACCTTAATAGTACCCGACAAAAAACAAAACCAGTTTTTTTTTGCTATAGGGTGTTCAGGTTTACACCGACTCCTCCCTCGAGCTTTGAGCCAGTTATAATATCTCGAACTAGTTTAAGGACACGTCCCCTAAAGAGCAAGGGTGACTGACCCTTAACAGGTGTGAGAAATATCGAACCTGAGACCTTTTATTTACAAGAAGGCAAGCTTGACTACTAGACCAACCTAAGGGTTAAAAAAAAAGAATATTTTCTGAGTAATGTTCTACAAGGCCCTTCTTAGGCATCGACAGCATATATCCCATGCATTAGCAACAAAAAGAAAGACAAATGAGGAGTAATCAGGACAATTGTTAATCAGAAACTTGAAAGCATTTAGGAATTCCAACAAAGGAATTGCATTGGGAAAGACCATAATAACTTACATATATAGCTTCAGGAAAGCTAATATTATCACAGTGAATCTTTGGTATTTACATCTGCTGGCTATGGTTTCTTTACAACACATTGTTCTGACAAGTTTTTCTACTCACTTTAGAGCCAAGTCAATTCTGAAGACTGCTATATTTCAGGACTCTACAACGTTCACAGCGAATTTGGACAGCAGCTGTGGGATTCCTGATATTATCGGTCCGTATTTCTACAAAATACAACAATTAAATGCATTAAACCCAAATTTTAGCGTTCATGTGTGCTAATTGAAATTCAAAATGCAATTTTAGCTCAAAAGGTGGATAAAGAGACACCAATATAAACAAGTTGAGGAAAATATGAGTTACGTATTGAATTATCATAATGTTGACTTATTAGTCCATCCATATGGCAATAAGTGGACTCATTTTCAACCCTAGAGAAACAAAACGAGATTCAGGCTCTCCATGGGATAACTTCTGAGTGAATTGTATGTACCTTTTGGCTTTCATGAATTTCAGACAGTGGAACTGCAAGCAACTTTAGGTTTTTAGGTACAATGAACTTTTGACTTGCAGGTAACTTCACAAGAAAGAGTTTAATGCACTCCTACAAATCGGGACAAGCACATCAGAATGAGGGATTCGTGCCAGTAAAGAAAATATAAAGGAAGCAATTCTTTTCGTAGTTGATTACCTTCGGCCATTTCACATTAGGTGGCAAGTATGGATACAGCAGCGTTTCAAAGTTATGTCTCCACCACATCCCAAGGCATTCTCCCACCTAAACATCGCAAATAAGACCCTTAAAAAACTTGCACTGAATTTACTCAAATAGGAATGCCATAATAAAATTCCACATACCTCCCAATCAGGTCGGCCACCATCTTTATCAATAGATAGCTTGCTTGAAAGCTTACGCTTCAAGCCACCAATATCTGCAGGACGAAAAAGAAATCTAAGGATGTCCACACCTTCAATTACAAATCGATAGCATGAATTACTAAGATGGTGTCTTACCTGATTCACCTGGTCTTAAGCGACCGCCTGGGAGCATAAGTATGGAATTCCTTATTTGCAACAACAGCAAATGAGGATGTTTGAACAATTCAACCTGCAACTCAAAACCACAATTATCTCATCTGTCCACCCATTGAAGTACCTATACTACAAACTTTCCAATCAACTTAACTGAACAAACTTGACCGAACCATTCAACTTGACTGAACAACCTTGTGAAAACGGAAAGTATTATGATCAACGAGAAAGGCCTTAAAAAGAAGTACTCTGACTTGACATCCTTTTTTTCCCAAATGAAATAAGGGCTGGACAAAGAACAAGATACTGTTGACAGAAAATGACCTGAAAACAACCATGAATTCTCAAATGTTCTTTCTCTTCAAAGATCTAATAAAAATACAAATTTGAATCCTTAACTTTGTAGACACATCTAATTACGTGTCAACCAATACTGGTAAAATCGACTAACCCTAAACCCAAAAACTTGAAAAGTGCTCACGAATAAAACGATATTTTTAGTTTATAAATAGCTCTAGCATAGCTGAGATCAAGAACAGTTGACTTGGTTGAGCATATATCTCTTGCATCCCTGATTAATCATCAACAAGCATATGAAAAAGACACTTAAATCTCCACCGTCCATCCTCAAATATGGAGTTTGTACATATGTGTGTGTTTTTGTGCATTTGTGTGGCAAATGGATCTGCAATGTAAGACAATTACATGGCAACAAAGAAAACAACCAAATGCTTAGGTTAATCGACAATCATTAAAACTATCACTCGTGTTGGCCCCATTTAGCAAGGGTTCTTGAAGTAGATCGGTTACCAATTTAACACCTTTTTTTTCAGTGCACAAACTGGCCGCTCTTACTCTCAAAACACTTTGTCACACTAAGCATTCATAAGATATTACTATCTCAGTTAGCAATACCACCTTAATTTCCAAAACCACTCTGCGATTTCTTGTCTCAACCCTAATTGGCAAAACCAAAATTGTCAAATACTAGCTCCAAACAATCCATTCACCTTGGCAACATTCAGCTCATTCCTAGAATATCAATAACTACATTTATAACAGACACTATCGACAGTGCCCCCAAAAAAGATCTTCATTCTGTTTCATTTTTACCCCAATTCATACATCCCTAGTGACTATAATATAATCTGAACAAGAAACATTTTTGACAGCAAATATCAATAGGTTAATAAGTTATTTGTGGGTAAATCAAGGAAGTCGAATAATAAAATCATACATGGTTTTACTTTCAGTTTTGATTTAATTTAAGCAAAAAACAAAGAATCGAAAGTCATTTTATACATATATCTATCTGTAATTGAAGAAGCAGAGGGTATAGAGTACTGACCAGAAGTACAGCCTGAACGCAAGTCCTCAATCCGTAAGCATCGTAGCTGGAAACGATAAATAATTGCACATTCAAAAGACTTGGAAAACAGTGAACCCTACTGAACTATAGCAAGAGAAACACATGTATATATGAATGACTCAGGAATATAAACACACACACGCACACAGAGAAGAGGGAAAGGGAAAAGGGGTACTTGGATTTCATGCGGTGGACACGATCGGCAATGGTTTCGTCCTCGAATGGGACGGCTTCTTTGGAACCAAAATAGTAACAGCTGAGAGGATAAATGTTCAAAACGTTACTGTGACTGTGATCATCGTTGTTGTTGTGATAGTTTCCATTACCTACAACCGGTAAAACCACTTGATCACTCATCTTCAAGATGATCTGCAATTGCAATTCGAGAGAATAGATAGAGAGGGAAAAAAGATTTGGAGGAGGGTGGCGGAGAAAGAATAATACAAAGAAGCTAGATTAGGAAACGTGGCTGTTACAGAGAGAATCGGAGGCTGATACAGTGATATGGCACATGGCTCTAGAGAGTGTGGTTGCCAAATTTTTTATTAAATTTTGTATTTCAAATCCGTGCGTAGTTAGATTAGTGGCATCATTAATTTTATCGAGGATTCGATACATAAGATTTTAATACATTATTTATAATATAAGATTTAATAAATAATTTGAGTGGTATAATTTTATCTATTATGATATGCTTGTTTGTAAATATTGAATACAACACTGATACTATGTCAGTAATTTTGATGTAGTATCATCAATTAATAATAAAATATTATCGTCAACTAATAATAAAACATTAAATAGGTATGGTGAACCGTACTTAGACAATTATTTGTTTATATGGAGGAACAATAGATAGTTATTTACCCACATAGAGGGTTAGTTATTTATTTTAGTGGGACATATTTACTTATTTGTTTGATATTATTAATTGGTGATACAACGATAATATTATTACATGGTATCATCGTTGTAATTGAATATTTTCTTATTTTCCTTTCAATGTAATTATTATTTTTATTTAATTTAGAAGAATAATTCTATGCGCAAAAAAGTTTATATTACTTTTTTTTTATTACCGTCAAAAGATATTTTGATCAATTTATATACACCTCGATTAATCTTTTCTTCAATTTCATCAAAAGAAATATCATCTACGCCAAAAATAAAAAATTCACGATAAATAAATTTCTCAAGGTAGTCTCACATCAATTGGTGAATTTTTTAGAGCAATGCTATTAAGATATAATTTGAAGACTTAATAATTGTGGTCATTAGATTATCAATGAGTTTCAACATTAAATTATCACTGGATTCTAACACTATCAATTCAATGATCATAATATATTAAAATTTTAAATTATATCTCTAAATTATGTCCTAATAGCATTAGTGAAATTTTTAATGTAGACAATTAGGGAGAGGCTTTGCCCTTTTGTCCAACCAAATATATTAGTATGTGGATGGTGGTATGGTGCGTTGTTGGATTTGGACTGTTTAACCAAACAGTTGCTGGGACTGGGTTTTGATGAGTTGGGCTATGATGGATTTGAACCTCTACAAGTAAGATAGGTTTTTTCTTCGTTTAAGAAAATATGTTAATTTTGTAAAAGAGTTTAGGGGACGTATCTTATATAAATTTGGGATATTTATAGCTAACCATAATATAAATAGCAAAGACATGCACAAAAACCAAATACAAAGGCTCTTCATCACTTGAACTTGCATGTGAAAGAGTATACTACAACCTTTTTTTTTTTTTTTTTACCTTTGTGCAGTTGGTTCAATAAATAAGAATTTCTTGTTCAATATTATAGTTTGAATCTTCATAACTACGACATCTTAGTGAAATCGTAGCTTCAACTTTGACATAGCTACGGTGGGCTCTCCCATAGATAGTTAGTTGTGTGGTATTGAGAAAAAAAAAGTTTCATGACAATATATATAGAGTAATCTATATGTATATTAGTTATTGTTCGTGTTTGATGACACATAATAATAATAAAAAAATTGTCAATTATAAATATATTTATATTCATACTCAAACTCAAACTAAAATTACAAAAATATAGATGAGAGATAAATGAATTTAAATATCGGTTGTAGTGGGGGTGAGTGATGAAAGTGGTGGTGGAAGATGGTGATGGATGTGGTGAGCGGCTATGACTGTGATAGTGGTGGCGGTTGTGGGTGGCAACGGTGATGGTAGTGATGAATTTTGGATAATGATTATAGTATTGACAGTCGTGGGTAACAACAGTGGTAGTCGTGGGTGATGATGGTGGTGGTGGTGGTGGGTGGTAGCGAATGGTGATTGTGTTGGCAGGTGTGGTGGGGGTGGATGGTGACGATAGGTGGTGGTGGACAACAATGGTAATGGTGGTGGTGGAATGATAGTGATAATAGTAATAAATATAAGAATGAGATATTGATGGTGGTAGGAGGTGGCGGTAGGCGATAGTGGTAACATTCGATGGTGGTGATGGTGACCACGATGGTGGTCGTAATGATGATGGTCGTGTGACAATGTAGGTGGTGGTGAGGCGATGGTTATGGCAAAAGTGGTGGTGGAATAGGGTGGCAGTGGTGATGATGGTAGTAGTAGTGGGACGGTGGGAGTGATGATAATGGTAGAGTGACAACAATGGTGGTGGTGGTTGTAGGTTGGTGTGGTGAGGCGGTGGTAATGGTTATGGTGGTGGTAGTGGTGGTTATTGCAGAAGTGGTTTTGAGGCGACCGTGGTAACGATGGTGGTAGTGGTGATAGTGATCGTGGGATGGTAGGGGGAGGTGGAGTGGCTACAACAGTGATGGTGATGGTGATGGTTATTGTGGCAGAGGTGGTGGTGGGGTGACGACGATGGCAGTGGTGGTTGTGATAGAGGTGGTGGTGGGATGGTGATGATGGCGGTAATTGTGGTGAGGCAGTGGTGGTGGGGCAATTGCAAACACTATTTTTTTTTTAAAGTACTTATGAGAAGTAAGTTCTAGAAACACTTTAAAAAAGTTATCCTAAACATACTCTTAGGTAGTCTATTTTCCTATTTAATTTAAGGAGTTAACATTAACTATCAGATTAATTTTAAAGTAAAATTTAAAACGATCTTAACTGAAAAAATAAAAATTATTTTATTTATTTTATTTATTTTTAATATTTGAATTATATTGTATTTTATTATATAGATTTATTTTATATACCAAAAAATATCAAATCTTCTAAGATTTTGTTCTTGAAAATAAAGTCACCAACTAAATGATGTCATACCCTACTTACAATTCAATCTAAAAAATGTAATTTCTTCTGCATGCCAAGTATTATTGGGGAATTGGTGGGGATCTCTATGTGAATATGTTCAATCAAGCAAACTGGTATGTTTATCTTCATAAAGAAAGTTCTTGGGCTAAAGGGCACTTGAATTTGGGGGGTTGGACAAGAAACCCCTCTTGCAATGAGTATCAAGCACATGGACATGGAGTTTGGCTTTGCACTTAAATTCAAACCGTTAGTTGGGACGTTGGATCAATGCCTAACTTCGATCGAAAGTTCCATTGACTTGGCAATTGGAGCTTTTAACATCACCATCTAGTTGACTTACTTTTAAGTTATACTTTTGTGGCAGCTTTTTGGGTTGTTCACTCTAGTAACAAAAGATATTCTTCAACTCCAAGTAATAAAGGAGAGAGTTGTAAATGTAAATCTTTTGAATTTAAATTTTAATAATTTTTTTAAGTTAAATTATAAAAGATTTTTTTTTTTTTTTGCTAGTTAAAAAAAGGGGTCAAGGTAAAAGAGTGCGCTTAAAAACCATCCTGATAGACCTTTATTAGTGAGATCATGAGGTTCCTGATAATGCTCGTTATTTTTCTCATAAACAAAATTAGATAGGCTAACATAACAGTCAACTACTAAACTATAATCTAGACTCTAAAACTCGAACCTCCAATCTTAGGGCAAGAAGTTCGACCGGTACTTCACTGGACCACCCCACTCGGTGGTGGCCACGAATGATTTATCTCTTATGAAGGTGTAGATGACCTCCTTTGACTAGATCAGGGAGGAAATTACTCAAGGTATGTATAAGTTAGTCTAAAAATCCTTGACCATGTAGAAAAAAAAAAAGAAAAAAAGAAGAAGATATTCTTCGCGTCGTATTATGTGTGTATTACCATTTTGAATCGAATAATGTTATTGTCAACTAATTTATTAACTTAATTTATTTTTTTAATTTATTATAATCATTGAATTGATCGTGACCTTTATCAAATATTAAAATTTGGTATTAATCTAATATTTACAATGAAATTATATCATTAGATCAACATATTATGTCAATTTTTTAGAAATTTGAACTATGATGGTTTAATACGTGAAAAAAAAAGTTATGTGACCAAAACTTGTTTTCTTCTAATCAAATTTACAATATATAGGATAAGATAAATCAAATAAAGNGAAAGTTCCATTGACTTGGCAATTGGAGCTTTTAACATCACCATCTAGTTGACTTACTTTTAAGTTATACTTTTGTGGCAGCTTTTTGGGTTGTTCACTCTAGTAACAAAAGATATTCTTCAACTCCAAGTAATAAAGGAGAGAGTTGTAAATGTAAATCTTTTGAATTTAAATTTTAATAATTTTTTTAAGTTAAATTATAAAAGATTTTTTTTTTTTTTTGCTAGTTAAAAAAAGGGGTCAAGGTAAAAGAGTGCGCTTAAAAACCATCCTGATAGACCTTTATTAGTGAGATCATGAGGTTCCTGATAATGCTCGTTATTTTTCTCATAAACAAAATTAGATAGGCTAACATAACAGTCAACTACTAAACTATAATCTAGACTCTAAAACTTGAACCTCCAATCTTAGGGCAAGAAGTTCGACCGGTACTTCACTGGACCACCCCACTCGGTGGTGGCCACGAATGATTTATCTCTTATGAAGGTGTAGATGACCTCCTTTGACTAGATCAGGGAGGAAATTACTCAAGGTATGTATAAGTTAGTCTAAAAATCCTTGACCATGTAGAAAAAAAAAAAGANGTGTGCATTTGTGTGGCAAATGGATCTGCAATGTAAGACAATTACAAGGCAACAAAGAAAACAACCAAATGCTTAGGTTAATCGACAATCATTAAAACTATCACNTTGTGCATTTGTGTGGCAAATGGATCTGCAATGTAAGACAATTACATGGCAACAAAGAAAACAACCAAATGCTTAGGTTAATCGACAATCATTAAAACTATCACTCGTGTTGGCCCCATTTAGCAAGGGTTCTTGAAGTAGATCGGTTACCAATTTAACACCTTTTTTTTCAGTGCACAAACTGGCCGCTCTTACTCTCAAAACACTTTGTCACACTAAGCATTCATAAGATATTACTATCTCAGTTAGCAATACCACCTTAATTTCCAAAACCACTCTGCGATTTCTTGTCTCAACCCTAATTGGCAAAACCAAAATTGTCAAATACTAGCTCCAAACAATCCATTCACCTTGGCAACATTCA